TGCAATCTGATCAATGGCCTACAGACCTTTCAGCATGCATTACCTCCAGCCCTTGCTTCACATCATGTGGAGCGAATCAAATTGGCTGAAGACTGGTATCTGTAATGCTAGGGGCCACTGCAGGAGGCCAAAATGGATCATCCATTTGGCACATGTGGCTGAAGATTGCTGCAAATTCTTCAGCCTTATCTTTTGCATGATGTTCAGGGCTCTTCCAACATTGAGGATGGGGATATTTGTGGAGCCTCCTCCTCCAGTGAGTTGTTTAATTGTCCACCACCATTCACGACCAGATGTGGCAAGACTGCAGAGCTCTGATCCGTTGGTGGTGGGATTGCTTAGCTCTGTCTATCACTTTCTGCTTTCGCTGTTTGGCGTGGAAGTAATCTAATGGCATAGCCTCACCAGGTTTTACCTGGTGCTGCTCCTGGCATGCTCTCCTGCACTCTCCATTGAACCAGGCTTGATGGCAATGGTTGACTGGGGGGTATGCGGGGCCATGAGGTTGCAGGTTGTGCTTAAGGACAATTTTGCTGATGTTGATGGCCCAGAGCACCTATTGGATGCCCAGTCATCGGTTTGGATATTTATTTGAAGTCTGTCCCATTTAGCATGGTGATAATACTGTGGCCGGACAGGCCACTAAGAATGGCAGACTTACAAAAACAAAAGACAATAAATAAAGCATGCTGGGAAGTTGAGCCAAAGAGTGGCCAAAATAATCTGTGCTAAAAAAAAATAAGCTGCAGACCCAGACAGGCCCAGACATTGCACAATATACAATTGACCCAGCCCATTCCCAGGACAATAGGAAATGCTGAGTTGTTTTCCAGGACAAAGGGGCACTTCATATGCTTTTTTGGGAAAGGCTACCTGACTTACATGCCCCTAACACCTTCAGAAATGGAGGCCCAAGGACTAACACACCAACGCCTGATTGGGTCTGATCATTCAGGGTGATCGAGCCCTGATCGATCCATTAGTAGGAATTGAAGATCCTCGCAACAGGGTGCGAAAGCTTCCAGATATAAGAACCGCCACAACACCACCCTCAGGAGCGGCAACTCGAGACCAACACCATGAAGAGGAGACAACCCTGGGGCCACCAATAGAAGAAGACCAGACGATCATTGCCACATGGCTCAAAGCCAAGATCAAGTGTGGTGGTATTTGATCATTCAAAGTTCAGTTAAAGTGTAAGGTAGTTAATTAGGTTTATAGTGTTCATTGTTAGTTTGTAGCCTATTTTGTAATTATGGCATTAATTGTGTTGAAGTGGATAAAGATCATTTCTTATTACTATTAACAGTCGACTCACAGTTTCTTTGCTGGATAGAAGGGTTAAAACACATTGTGAGGCAGGTGCAGCAATACCACATAACATTATGGAAGATATTCTCAATGTGAAGGCATCTCAACAACAACTGTGCAGTGGTCACTCGTACCAATACTGTCATTGACAGATGCCGCCAGCAGATTGGTAAGGATGAAGCCAAGTGTGTTTGTCCTTCTTGGTGGTTCCCTTATACCTTGCCACAGACCCAGTATAGCAGCTACGTCCTTTAGGACCCAACAAGCTCATTCAGTGGTACTGCTGCAAAGCCACTCTTACTGAAGGGCATCGAAGGCTCTACCCACAGTGCATTCTGCACCCTTTCCATTTTCAGATCCTTCCTCTAAGTGATGTTTGAAATAGAGGAGTACTGATTCATGAGCCAAAGCAGGACAGTGAATTGTAATGGTTTGGCTATTTCCTTGCTTAAACCGAAACCATGAGACTTCTTGGGCTCCAGAGCGAATATTGAAGGCTCCCAGTGCAACTCCCTAACAAATTTATATTACCTTGCCATTAACTCTGTCACTGGTGGGACAGGACATATCCAGAAACAGTATTGATGGTGTTTTCTGAGACATGGTGTGGTAGGATTCCATGAGGTGTGACTATTTCAGGATTGTTGGTTGTTTCATCCATCTTCCAATTTTGGCACTAGCTCCCAAACGTTAGTAAATATAACACTGAGGGGTCAACCAGAATGAGTTTGACATTGTCGGTTGCATTATTTCATTGCTTTTCTGAGGCTTGCTGCACCATTTTAGTGGGAAGTTAAGAGCTAACCATGTTAGTTTGGGCCTAGAGTCACATGCAGGCCAGACCAGGTGAGGGCATCAGATTTCCTTTGCGTAAGACACTTTAATGAACCAGTTGAGTTTTCATGAAATGGTTTTATGAGACTTTTAATTCCGCTTCGTTGAATTCAAGTTTCACCATGTGCTGTGGTGGGATAAATCCCGGTTTCCAGAACATTGTCAGTCTCAGGATTACTAATTAGTGACAATACCACTAGGCTATTATGATACCACTGACATGTGAAAACAAACATACGTGAGGGATATAAAGATAAACAGAATATTACAAATATTTTAGAAGCAAAGGGGTAATATGGGCCATTTAAAAACAGATACAAGAACTATTGCATAAAATAATGAAGAAATGGCAGACTTGTTGAGTTTTTTTTTGTATCCACCTTAACAGTAGAGGAAAAAGGATAATATATTACATGTTTCAAACAAATTAATCATGAATCAAAGTCAGAGCTAACTGAATCAATATCAACTGGAAAGTGTGCAAAGAAGATTCACGAGGATGTTGCCAGGACTAGTAGTTCTGAGTTAAAGGGGGAGGTTGGCCAGGATAGGACTTTATTCCTTGGAACGTAGGAAATTGAGGGGCGACTTTATTGAGGCATATAAAATCAAGACTATGCATACAGTCTTTTTCCCAGGGATGGAGAATTGAAAACTAGAGGGCATAGGTTTAAGGTGAGAGGGGAAAGATTTAAGAAGGACCTGAGGGGCAACTTCTTCACACAGAGAGTGGTGGGTATATGGAAGGGGCTGCCAGAGAAAGTAGTTGAGGCAGGTACAATAGCAACATTTTAAAAACATTTGGATAGGTACATGGATGGGAAGGATTGAGAGGGATATGGACCAAATGCAGGCAACTGGAACTAGCTGTGTGGGCACCATTGTCAGCATGGACCAGTTTGGGCCAAAGGGCCTGTTTCCATGCTGTATTACTCTATGACTCAACCAATTGAAGATTGACAAGTCTCCAGAACCAGATGGATTTTAATCCTGGAGTTTAAATAATGCTTGTTAAAAATAAGGCCATAACCTTCTAAAGCTATCACAATTCAAAAAATGTAACTTGAGACTGGAAATTATTTAAGAGACAGAGAGACTTAGAGATAGACAGGCAGAAAAATTAGATTTATATACCTGATAGTGTCAAGCATATGCTGAGTGGAAATCTATAAATCAGAGCAGAATAATTGAAAACCTCATCACAGAAACATGGATTTATAAAGCATTGGCCAATTGGCCATTCAACTTAATTGACTTTTATGAGTGCACATTTTATCAGGAGCATGTCTATAAATGTAGTTTATATGAACTTCCAAAAGCAGTTGCTAGATTCCACATAACTCAGAACTTTGGGACATCTTGAGGTTGTGAAAACTGAAATATAAATGTAAGAACTTTGTTTTTGAATTTAAGATAAAGCATGAACAATTGATTTATGACGTCTCACAACTTAGTATGTAGTATACCTCTAAAAAACATGCTTGTGATGGCATCATTGTCAAGCATATAACCCAAAGTTATAAAGATCTCAGGGTTCATCTTAAACAGGACCACTTGAAATACATCACATTTGTGAAAGTGTTCATTAAATGTTACTCTTTGCGACCAAATAACTTCATTTAGCCCAGACACTGGAGTGCCTGTGACTGTAATACAGCAAACTTTGTTTTAACTGGTACCTTATTGAACTGGCACACTTGATAAATCGGCAAAAATAACGTAACTCAAATACCAGGCATTTACTATGCAATTTCCACGATGTCAGAATTGAAGGTGCGACTGAGAAGGGTCTCTGCTGTTAAGTTTTATTTAAGGCAAGGTTGCATCATTATTTAAGTTTTTTAGGCCATAAATAAAGTGTAATAGTGATGCATATACCCCTGTATTACATTTCTATTACTTTAATTCATTCATGGGATGAGGGCATTGCTGGCTAGGCAGCATTTATTGCCCATCCCTAATTGCCCAGATGGCAGTTAAGAGTCAACCACATTGCTGTGGGTTGGGAGTCACATGTAGGCCAGACCAGGTAAGGATGGCAGTTTCCTTCCCTAAAGGACATTGATGAACCAGATGGGTTTTTACCAACAATTGACAATGGATTCATGGTGTTAATTCCAGATATTTTATTGAATTTAAATTCCACCATCTGCTGAGGCAGGATTTGAACCAGGGTCCCGAGAATGTTATCTGGGTCTCTGGATTAACAGTCCAGTAATAATACCACTAGGCCATTGCCTGCCCTGTTTTTAACTTGATTACGTGGACCTCTTGATCAACCAGAATATTTGATCAGCCAGTACACTCCTGGTCCCATAGGTGCCAGTTAATAAGAAGTTTGCTGTCTTTATATTTAGCAAGAGCTGGAATAAATGTCCATTGAATCTTTCAATATTGCATGGACAATGTTTTGTTTTTACCTTGCAGGAGGTAACGTAAGCATTGCTGCATTAGGTATAGATACCCTGCTGGGGGGCCCAAGCCCACACCTTGGAGGCAGTTCAAAAATAATATCCCGAGTGAAAAATCACTTTATCGGAAAACCAAAGAGCAAAAGTCCCACAACAGGAGAGAGAATGAGTGAATCAGAAAAGAGCTGCCAAACAGCTCCAAGCTTCAGTTTTAAAAGCCTGAAGACAATAAAAAATTTAAATTATTCTCAGTAATTGGAGCTAGAAGCTAACTACACTGATTCCCACTTTACATAGCTGAGACTTGGATTGAATTTGTTTTCTGAACAATAAATCCAGTGTAGTACAAGGCTGTTCTTGACCCACAGGAGCTGAGTTAAGGTGCTCCAGCACTGAAATATAATACACTAAACAGAGCTGGAATGAACAAAGGAATTAACTTACAGTTGTAACCATGGCAACCTGCCATTCTTCCAGGCGCCATTCACAATGAATGACTGGGGAAATGACTGCCAAAAGCATGATCTCCATGGCTTCGGCCACCTAAAGAAACAACCAAGGAAACAATAAAATCAAGACTCAATCAATCATATTTGGAAAGTTGGACATCTCCTCATAATATCACCTGTTGTCCTATACTGTTGTGCTCAGAGTTAGGTTCACATCTTCAGGGTTAGAAGATGAAGAGTTCCAGCCCTTTACCAATCAGCCCTTGTGAGCAGAAGCTAGAATATTGAGAATGGAGTGATGTTCCCACGGTGACAGAATAGTCAGCGGCTCAGTGACAGTGTTATGAGCGCTCAGACCTGACTTCTTTTTTTCCATTTTTCTCATTTTCAAGTCTGGCCTGCGCTGTCGCTTTATTGAAACTGGTTGCAAGCCAGCATACAGGTTCGCGCAATCACGCATGTTTGTCTCAAATATACTCCTTTCATACAAAAAAAACAAACAAGTATTTGCAAGAATTGCTATGTATATTTTGAGTTAGCCAAGTGAGCCATGGTGTTTGCAATTGATATCGTGCATTAGCAGTTCATGATTCTCAGCAATCCCTGCACTTGCACTGCACACAGTTACATCGGATTCTTAATGGTGCGTGGCATCATGTGGATGCCCATCATCACCAGCTGTGGTACCAGTTGTTCTCCCATTTCTGTTGTTGGGGTGTCGTGGACCTCTGGGACTGATGGTTTGTACTCAGGGTGAGTTCACATCTTCCTGATTGGCTGTCTGCAGTTGAGGAAACACTTTTCTAATTGTACATATGTGTATCAGTTACAAAGTTACATCTTCAACCCCATATCGTTATGGACCAAACCAAACACCTTAAAGATATCTTAAGGAGATAGCCTGGGCCCTAATTACTCATTTTAAAGGCAAGTTCCAGACGTTGCATTCCAGGTGCAATTTGATTGGTCAAACTGCCAATCTTGAAGCAAAATACGCTTTACTCTTACACTACAGTTAAAAGGCAACAAAAGAAAGAATAAAAACAAAGTTGCCAGAAAAGCTCAGCAGGTCTGGCAGCATCTGTGAAAGAGAAATCAGGGTTAATGGTCCGGTGACCCTTCCTCAGAACTGATGGTGGCTGGGAAAACGTCAGTTTATATGCAGAAAATAGGGAGGTGGGTGGGGTAGGGAGTAAATCATAGGCGAGAGACCAAAGCGAGAGAAAGACAGTTGGACAGACAAAGGAGTTGCTAACGATCAGGCTGGGAGGGTTAATAGTTGTTAATGGGGACTGTTAGTGACTAACAACAGGGGGTAGGTAATGGCAGGCTATGTGGTAACAGATGCTGCCAAACCTGCTGAGCTTTTCCAGTAGCTTTGTTTTTGTTCCTGATTTACAGCATCCGCAGTTCTTTTGGTTTTTAAAAGAAAGAATAAATTGGAATATCTTAACTCTAGTGGAAAACTTAACAGAATCATAGGTTATTTAACTACTAAACAGTAACAGTTCCAATATAGTAACACTCCACAAACACACCCTCGGTAAAAGGTAAATTCAGTGAAATAGATTGTCTCACAGACATTTCTCCAGTCCAGGAAGAAAAACATCAAGAAAAAACTCAGAGAGAGAGAGTAGCAGGGAAAGACATACTGTAGCTTCCAAACCCAGCTTTAATACCCCAGCAGCAACTGATACTGAAAAACGAAGACTAAAAATCCTGGTTTAGTGGGAACCAAAAGAACTGCAGATGCTGTAAATAAGGAACAAAAACAAAGTTGCTGGAAAAGCTCATCACGTCTGGCAGCATCTGTGAAGGAGAAAACAGAGTTAGCGTTTCGGGTCCGGTGACCCTTCCTCAGAACT